CAGAGGAACAGGAAGACGTGGGTGGGGGTGTGGGGGGTGGATGGGGGTAGGGGGTAACGAAGCAGACAGGAGTAGGGGTGGGGTGAGGTAAACCGACGGAGGTAGGGGGAGTTGGGGAGGTGGAGTGGAGAGAGAGCGAAGCCGACGGGGGCAGGGGGAAGGGGAGCGAAGCCGACGGAGATGGGAAGGGGGAAAGGGTAGGGGGAGCGAAACCGACAGGGGTAGGGGTGTGGAGAAGGTAAGCCAACGGAGATAGGGGGGATGTAGAGTGAGCTAAGCCGACGGGGTAGGGGTGGGGGAAAGTAAGCCGACGGAGGTAAGGGGGGAGGGGGGGAAGGGGGAAGCGGAGCCGACATGGGTATGAGTGATACTGTGTCGATGCTCCTTAGTTTGGTTCATCCCAGCGTTCGTTCGAGCTTGTAATGGAGTCGCACATGCCATTGCATCCTGTGCGTCATTAAAGGCAGAGCCATGCAGAAACGCGAAGGAGGAACGGCGAGAGGAAAGGGGAAGAGAGGGGAAGGAAGGAAGGGGAGGGAACGAAGAGGGAAGGGAAAGGCAAGGGAATATTTATTGAGGAGTAGGAAGAGTGTAGGAGGAAAGTGGTAGATGAGTAGGAAAAAGAGGATGGGAAGGAAGATGAATATAAACAACGAAGGAGGGAAATAGTATGGAATGAGATCAAAAGGGACCAAAAAAAAAAGAAGAAAAAATATGGGAAGACCGAAGAAAATAGAAATGAGAAAGAATCTGAAAACTGAATTTGGAGGCCAAACGAGAAACAGAAATAAAAATAGACTCTGAGTAAAAACAAACAAACCCACGAAGGAAATCGAGAAAAAAAAGATGCCCCCCAAAACGGAAAAATAAAAAGTGAAGATAGTCGCCCCAGGTTTCCAGCAAGGTACCCAACCCCCCATGGCAATCATCTTAACCATAACACTTGAACCTCTGCTGACAGTCCATCCTGATAGCCACTTACGGGAATTAATGGTGTTAGTTCCATTTGCAGATTGATGGTCCGATGTGACACGAGCGAGACACACTCATTTGGTACTCTGTCGCCTGATGTGACGACGGAGGCCGGCAGCGGAGAGTAAGGTTGTCGGTTAATATGATGACCGCGCTGTTTCCTATTCGGACGAGGCAGAGGAAAGCCTTGGGTTATATATCAACGCGTAGATGTCTCTTTTTTTATGGAATGTAGATGTATGTGCAATTGATTAAATACACACATATGCACAGACATATGTATGTGTGCCTTATGAAGAGGAATATATATATATATATATATATATATATATATATATATATATATATATATATATATATATATATATATGTATTTATATATATAAACATGTACATACACATATATACGTACACACACACGTGTGTGTGTGTGTGTGTATGCGTATGTGTGCGTGTGTCTGTATGTTGTGAGAGAGAGATAGAACAGTAGAGCACTTGTTTATAAATGCATTCGCTCAAAAAAAGGGTTTCTTTATGATCTAACTTTTCAGATTACTTTCTCTCATTTTAGAAGTTTCGGTTAAATATATGGTATGGTGGACGTTTTATAATGTACCGCAACTTCAGAAAAGTTCCAAAGAAATTGTTACAGGCTCTGGGTTAGAAAGAAGGGGAAATTATCCGAAAAAGATGCATGAATTTTATTTATCGTAATAACCAAGTAATTAGAAGGGATATAACCAGTATTATTATTGCTATTATTAGTATCATTATCATTGTTATTGTTATTGTTATGATTATTATTATCATCATCATCATCATCATGATCATCATCATCATCATCATCATCATCATCATCATCATCATTATCATTATTATTATTTATTACTGTACTGCTTTAAGTAAAACACTTGCAGTCAGTTAAACCTTTATGGTCAAGTTCACAAGCAGGTAGGCATAAACAGTGCATCCAATCTTGCTAGATGATAACAGTTTGCTTGCACACACAAGCACAGGCACAAACAAGCGCGATGAAAAGATGTAAGAAAATAAATCTTCACAAATTTTGAAGTATGTAATTGTACATGAAATAAAGTAGAGAAAAATATACAAATACAAAAAAAAGAATAGTTACACAACAAGAGAGATAAAATATTAAGAATATGTTAATGTAAAATCATAAAGAAAATACAGCTAGACTAGCATACTGTAAATATTAAACAAACAAATAAATTCCTTATACTACTTTAAGACAATTTATCTAATTTAATTTATATCTTATTTAAAGCACCCTATCTATATTCAACAACTAAAGACTAGATATTTTCATGAACTAACAAGTAAACAAAAGATAATTCTTTGGTAAATAACTAAAATAAAGCTTCACAGAAACATCAAAACACTATAAAAATAACACTTACTTATATCACATAATTTGAAGTTTATATATCACATAAGAGACACAACTAAGTCATTAACATACGCTCAAACATGTGAACATTACATTATTCATAATATAAACAGCTGACTTACAGAGTGGCCAGCCTAGATCGTTACAAAACATCGAGTGTCACTTGGCTCTCTGGTGAGATCTACGCGGATTCAAAACAAGCATTTTTGTAGAGCGTTCGTCGAACTCTAGCGTCACTATGGCCAACACGTTACAAAACAAAACGAAATTAAATGTGAGGATTATTGTATTGGTAATAGAATAAAATAAATTCTAGACTCTATATTATATGAAAGAAGGAATCATCCATCATATTTACTTTTATAGTTATTATTATCAATAATCATCATTTTTATTATAATTTTTATTATTATTACTACTATTGTTATTATCATCAACATCATCATTATTATCATTATTTTCGTTCTGTTTATTATTATTATTATATTTACCATTATTATCACTATTATTATTTCTTTCATTGTTATTATTATTATTAGTAGTAATATTACTATTATTATCATCATTAATATTATTAATATTATTATTATTATTATTATTATTATTGTTATTATTATAATTGTTATTATTACTATTAATATTATTACTATTGTTATTATCATTATCATTATTATTTTTATGACAAGGAAAATAATAATGATAATGATAAGAAAATAATAATGATAATTATGATAATAATGATAATTATGATAATAATAATAGCAATTATTATTATTGTTATTATTATTATTATTGTTATTATCATTATTATTATCATTATTGTTACTTATTATTATTATTGTTATTATCATTATTATTATCATTATTGTTACTTATTATTATTATTATTATTATATATTTTCTGTTTCATCATCATTATCATCATTTTCACTAATCATTATAATCATGATCTTTTCTTCGCCATCATTATCATTATAATTATTTATTATTATTTTTATTATTATTATTATTATTATTATTTGCTGTTAATATTGCCATTATTATTATCATTGTTGTTATCATTATTATCATCATTATTATTATTATTATTATTTTTATTGCTATTGTTGTCGTTGGTTTTTGTTTTCGTTGTTGTTATTACTATTATCATCATCAGCAACAGTAGAAGAAATAATAGTAGTAGTAGTTGTAGTTGAAGTGGCAGTAGTAGTGGTAGTATTGTTATTATGATCATTATCATTATTGTTATTGTTATTGTTATTATTAGTGCTCTCATCATCATCATCATCATTATTTTCATTATTGTTATTTTTTGTTATTATTATCATTACTGTTCTTATCATTATTACTATTATCATTATCATCATGATTATCATTATTGCTTTATATTGTTATCCTCATCATAATTATTTAATTATTATTATTATTATTATTATTGTTATTATTATTATTATTATCACTGTTATTACTGTCGCTGTTGCTTTTATTGTTACTATTATTATTATTATTATTTTCATCATCATTCCTAATACATATTTTCATATTTTTGATATTGCGCCGTAGCTCTGTCACATCATTTTACGAAGTCGCTGTAACCTGGTTGTGACAGTTGTTTTTTTATATGGCCGGATGCCCTTCCTGACGCCAATCCTCTCTATTTACCCGGGCTTGCGGCTGACAATGACACCCAGTGGCTAAGTTACTGTTATCAATTTTATCATTATCTTTTTTATTGTTATTATGATTATTTTGAATTTTATTGCCAGTGTCATTATTATCATTATAATCACGAATTTTCTGATGTGTGCTTGGGAATGTTGATTCGCTCTGCCTTGGAGTATATCGTTAGTTCTTATTTAATTAATATTTATGTTCTGAAACATCATTAGCCGTTTCATCTTCATTATTTATTGTTCCTGTTATCTTCATGAAATATTCATTTTTTATTCCAATGTCTTGGTCGTAGGTGACATGATAGCTCTATGAAAAAAAGATAAATAAATAGATAAAATAAAATAAAATAATGATGATAATAAAGAAAGAAAGAAAGAAAGTAAGAATCATGAGGATATCCCTCCCCCTCCCCCTCACTCACCCTACCCCCTAGCTTCCCTGGGTCACGCACGACTAGCTTTTTCCCGTCATTGCATTCAGCTTCAGCTAAGCTTGATTAGGCTTCATTTAGTTCATGATCTTGCCTTCAGTTACCAAGGAATTCAGCAGTAATTTGCATGATAAAGTTATTGATAAAGTTTGACCGTGACTTGTGGAGGTCAATGTGTGTGCTGAAGGAATGATATGTACATATAATCATCAATGGCTTTTGCTAAGTTGATTATGGAAGGTAAGAGCAATCAGTATTATTGTACGAAATCTAAAGCGAGTTTGTTTCATAAATAATTCATATCTGAAAAATGAGGAAAATGAAATGCGATGAGTTGTGTTTATATACATTTTTTTTTGTTCCCCGACGGTCGTAAGATAAGAAAATAATGTATGAACTTTCATATCTACTTGCAGACACTGAGACTCAAGCTGAGACTATAGCAGTTCGTTTCTTATGCACTTTTCCTGAGGACTACTAACACATTGGTTCGTGTGTCTGTCTGTGTTGCAGAAGTCAGCAACGATGGCGCCCGTCTCTGACCCCATGACCCTTATGGGCTGTCCCCTCGCCGCCTCCACGCCCACAGCTGCCAAGTCTCCGCCTTCGCTCTACCCTCACCCTGCCCACGAGGTGCCTCTGACCTACCACGGCCCGCCCCCTCCACCTTACACCCACGACACCCAACGTGTTGCACCTCTGTACACCCCCCACACCCTGGCCACCGCGCCCTCGCCGTCTTCCTTCGTCTGCGACACGTCCTTCGTCCCCATCCCCACCTCGCACCCCCAGGATCCTAGGTCCGCCAACATCCCCAGTTCCTATGCCTCCGACATTTCCTCCCTGACGCCCGCGGCCTACCCTCAGTATACCCTCAGCCTAGGGAGAAAGGGCACGCTGGCCATGGAAGGGGTGGTGCCGTCTTGCATAGCAGGGGTCCCCGCGCCCCCCCACCACGGCTCGACCTACTCCGTGGTGCCAAAGCCCGAGAGGGAATGGATGCGGCCCCACGCGCTCGCTCTGCCTCCCTGGGACGACACGGGGAGAGAGCGAGAGCCGAGCCCCGCACACCGCGAGAGCTCCGTCTAGTACCTGCGATTAGATTTAGTCCCATTTGCTTTCTTTACCTTTAGGAACTTCTTGGAGGTATGTTTCTGCAAGGAAAATGTTTATTTTTCTATTTGATACAGTTAAAAAAAACGATCCTCTGTGACGCCTTGTGTAAGCGTATTCTGCATCGCAACCTCCAGCGCTCGAGATAAATATGAGACTGACCGTTTTGGTTAAGCATGGACGCAAAAATACATTGCAACCGATAAAAGAAATTTCAGAAGATAGCTTATTCTGCTTACTGTATGTCAATCCCAATTCCCCGTGCTTCTACATCAGGATGTGCATGTTATATCCTACAAACGAACGAACTAACATGATTTGCGAGAAAAAAAAAAAAGGAGTAGAAGGAGAAGGAGGAAGAGGAAGAGGAGAAGGAAAAGGAGAAGGAGGAGGAGGAGGAGGAGGTGGTGGTGGTGGAGGAGGAGGAGGAGGTGGTGGTGGTGGAGGAGGAGGAGGAGAGGAGGAGGAGGAGGTGGTGGTGGTGGAGGAGGAGGAGGAGGTGGTGGTGGTGGAGGAGGAGGAGGAGGTGGTGGTGGTGGAGGAGGAGGAGGAGGAAGAAGAGGAGGAGGAGGAGGAGGAGGAGGATGAGGAGGAGGAGGAGGATGAGGAGGAGGAGGAGGTGGTGGTGGTGGAGGAGGAGGAGGAGAATGAGGAGCAGCAGTAGGAATAGAAGAAGGAGGAAGAGGAAGAGGAGAAGGAAAAGGAGAAGGAGAAGGAGGAGGAGGAGGAGGAGGAGGAAGAGGAAGAGGAAGAGGAAGAGGAAGAGGAAGAGGAAGAGGAAGAGGAGGAGGAGGAGGAGGAGGAGGAGGAGGAGGAGGAGGAGGAGGAGGAGGAGGAGGAGGAGGAGGAGGAGGAGGAGGAGGTGGTGGTGGTGGAGGAGGAGGAGGAAGAAGAGGAGGAGAAGGAGGAGGAGGAGGAGGAGGAGGTGGAGGAGGAGGAGGAGGAGGAGGAGGAGGTGGATGAGGAGGAGGAGGAGGTGGATGAGGAAGAGAAGGAGGAGAAGGAGAAGGAGGATGTAAAGGTGGTGATGGTGGAGGAGGAGGAGGAGGAAGATGATGATGATGAGGAGAAGAAGAAAAAGAAGAAGAAGGAGGAGGAGATGGACGACCCTTATGCGCGCTATTGGTCCGGGTTCGAGCTCCGTCTCTCAGCCACGCCCCCTTTCCCCTCTTCTTCCCCTTACTTCCCCTCACAATTCTCCCTTTTATACGATTAATCTGAAAGTTAGACACAAATCCACACACACACACACTCATGCATTCATAAACATACGTACACAGCGAAAACACACCAAAGCGAGTGTGTGCATGTTTGTCTGAGGTTATTTGAGATTCTGTTTACTTGCTTTCAGTAAGAATTGTGCTCCTTTACGTGAGGAAGTATACTTGTGTAACTGGGTATACGAGTATGCGTGTATTAAAAAAACTTGCGTGAGGATTTTCAGCATGTGTTTCACTGCACGTCTGTTTGTGTTTCCTTTTCATTGACTTATCTTTTCCTTTATCTGAAATTGTTTATCTTCATCTTCACTGAAGTAATTATACAAGCGCAAAGGAAATGTACGGATGATGTTATTTTCATCCCTAAGGCAGTGAACACAATTGTTTGTTGTTGTCTGTGTTTAAGGATATGCTCTAATACTTACCTTTCGACGTTGCAGGAACCGCCATTGATGACGTCACAGATCCAGTCGCAATTGATGACGTCTCAGATTCAGTCGCCATTGATGACGTCACAGATACCGTCGCCACATCCGCCAACCCAGTTCATTACTGCGACGCCCACAGCTACGTCCATCGCGCCCACGTTGACGTCAAGAACTCACTGTGTCATCGCCTCTGACGTTTAGACGTAGCGTTTGAAAAGAGCCAGAAAGCTGTTCGCATTTACGTATAGTGAC